TTGTAAGGTCTGTTTTCCTGACCTCTGATCATGCGCGTGGCTCTTCTCTGGACTCTCTCAAGCTTCTCCACATCCTTTTTGAATTGTGGGGCCCAAAACTGGATGCAGTTCTCCAGCTGCAACCTCACCAAGGCTGGGTACAAGGGGAGAATGACGTCCCGGGATTTGCTTGAGAAGCATCTATGGATGCAAGCCAGCATTTTGCTCGCTTTACTAGCTGCAGCATTGCACTGCAGGCTCATGTTCATCTTGTGGTCAATGATGACCCCCCAAGTCTTTCTTCTGTAGTGCTAGCCAGCATAGCACTGCCAAGCCTATAAGGATGCTGCAGGTTTTTCCTACCAAAGTGGAGAACCTTGCATTTTTCAGTGTTAAACACCATCAGGTTCATGTCCGCCCATTTGCTGAGCCTGTCCAGGTCAGCCTGGATCGCCCTCCTGCCTTCAGGTGTGGATGCTTTGCCCCAGAGTTTGGTGTCATCAGCAAACTTAGCCAGTCTGCCTCTGACTCCAATTTCTACATCATTAATAAAGATGTTGAACAATATGGATCCAAGGACAGAGCCTTGGGGGACCCCACTGGTCACATTTGCATTCATGAGTCCAACCCTGGTATGGTCCAATAGCCAGGGCTGTTGACTGGGGACTGAGAGACAGTTATTTCTACTCCCAGACTCTGGAACTGATCTGCTCTGATGTGGGGCAGCCATTTTCTTTCTTTCTCCCACCTTTATTTGTCTCTCAGTGATTGTCTTTTATTATGGCTTTGCACAGTACCCGATGCAATAGGGCACCATCTCAGCTGGGACCTGTAACTGCTACTGAAATGTAATCATCAGTGTATATTCCCTCTTGCAGGTGTTGCAGGCCTGTCATTCCCACCCAAAAGCTGTTGAAGTTGTCATCAATTCATATGAGCACATCAAATCAACGTCCAAGTGGAAAGCTGCTATACCTAATGATGTCTTTGAGGTAAGCCTTTAAAATATACTATTGACTAATAGCACAAAGTTTGTATCCCTCTCGTATCTGCCCAGACAAAGAAAAGTGGTTATGATTACAGATAAGGCTTCTGAGACACTAATCCAGATGAACAAATTGAGTATGTTCTAAAATGGGCTGCTCGTAGAAATAAAGAGAAGGTTCTAAATGATTTGTTTCTGGATTTGCCAGGTGTGTGAATAAGAAACATATGACTGGAAAAGATCTCCTGGGCCTCCTCATTCACAGGCAACTGTTTATCCAAGAATCTTCCAAATCTCCACTTTAAACTATTACACACAATAAATATACTTATTAACCAAAAACACATTTTTTTTTTGCTTTGCAGAGGCACCAGGATTTCTATAACTCTCTATTCAATGTGTGCAGCAACTCACCACGGTCACTCATGCATTTATGTAGATGTGCTATTCGAGGGACATTATTCAAAAGATGCCACAGAGGAGTCCCTTTACTTACCATTCCACCTTCATTGAAGAAGTATTTACTTTTGGAGCCAGAAGGAATAGTGTATTAAGCCTCATCAGAAAAGCTCAGCAATTTTATTTGTGACAGAAATCTGTGGACCTCCACAAATGTAGAAGGCAAGCCAGAGATCTTGGCAAAAACCAAACAAAACAACAAAAACCCTTCTGCAAAGGTTCTACTTACAACCAACTGCTGCTTGGCTTAGGAACAGATTGGGGTTTACTGGTTAGTCTCAGTCTAACCACTAGAACTTTTTCCCAGTAGCTCTGAGGAGTCTACAATTAAATATTTGCACAATAGATATAGTGCTAGGAAAGGCTTTTAAAGCTGTCTTATCAATCAGTGCCAAGGCAGGATTGCTGTCTGTAATATATATGTCAATACTTTGGTAGAACAGGGCTTCTTCCTTTTCTCTTCAATTACTATTATACTGCCTATGGGATATCCCCCTTTGGAAGCCTTTCCAAATTTTCAATACACACTGCTTTTCTATATTTTATCAGTATAATATTCACCAACCATCTTAGGAAGAAGAAAAAGAGTAGCAACAGAAAAATCTCTCCCTTTTATAAAGGCCAGCTAACTCTTTTCCGAGGAGGAAACCAGCCAAGGGCTTTGAATCATACCCATAAACTGCAAGACAGTATTTTCAAGATACTTTCATGTGGCTCTACACTGAAACAGATGTTAGTGTATTGTCAACTGTGCTATGTATCATATCATAATATTCTTTGTCATCATAATATGGTTCATTTTAATTACATTATTGTGAGAATAAAGCAAACAAAAAAAGATTAGCAGTATTAAAATTAATATTTGTATGTATTGATAGTATTGGAGTGATGTTGTAGCTGTTAAGGTCCTGGAGATATGTGAGGGAAGGATTTTTGTTGGTGATATCTTTTATTGGACCAACTGTATGGTTGGGTAGCTTGTCTAAGTTTATCCCAACCATGCAGTTGGTCTAATAAAAGATATCAGCCACAAAAATCCTTGCCTCTTTCATACTACTCTGTACTAAGATTCATGCTTGTATCTCATACATCAGAGCTGTCCCAATTCTGGACTGTGGGTATGTGGGGGGAGAGGGGGGCTGCAAGTCACATGGGGCACAGATTGCAGGGGTCCCTCGTTGTGTGTATTGCCTGGGAAGCTGGGCAGCCTGGCTTTCCTCTGCCACAGGAGCAGCATGGACTCACTCCTAGCCACATATGCACAGCTCCACTCTTGTGGCGTGGGCAGCTCAGATTTCTCCTTGCCATATGTGCAGGGGCCTCCCACTGCACAGTCCCACCCCACCATGACCCCAAAAGTGGAGGCAGGAAGCGGAAGCAGGAGGAGGGTGGGAGAGCCTGGACACTCTAGTCACCTATGCTACTGGAGTGGTGGGGGCAGTAGCAGCTAGGTGGGAATTCAGGCAAGACCCCGAAGTGTTAACATGAGCCTCCAGTTGGACAGGTCTGCCTGGCATTGTTCACAAAACCTGTACAATGGAGGTGTGTTCTCCATCGGTCAGTGATCAGCCACTGGGGGGGAGCCCCCCCCGGTCAGCAGTTGCCTGCTGGTGCCCCCCAGAGTCAGGAGGTACCAGTTGCCCATGTTTATACACATACCTTTTCATCCTGCGATGTGCCAGAGATCCACCGCTTCGGAGCAGACTCAATTAATCGTGTCTGCTCTACATGCGAGCTGATGTGCACTGTGTTGTGCCTCATGCAGTTGTATAAGCGGCGAAATGCGCAGTGCACAGAAAATGGTGGCAATGCACTTTTGAACTAAAGCACCTTCTATGTGATTTAGTTCAAAAGCCTGCTGCTGCCATTTTCTCAGCGCTGACGTGCATTTTGCCAATTATATAACTTTTCAGAGCACCTAGCATTGCAGCACTCACATGTGTTAAAATGCCCTAAGGCTAGGTACAGACAGTCACAAAGCCCAAGGCGGAAGTGTGTTTTTCTGTAAGTGGTGTAGTTTAAATTGCTAGCAAACAGAAGATACATTCACCCTTGGGGGTGTGGGGTGGTGGGAACTTAACTGGGTTCTGCCATTTTTAAACCAGTCTGTGTGCACCAAATTTCTCTTCTGTTACACATATAGATCTGTTTCCAATCATTTATACTGGTAAAAATGTAATGTCTGTTCCTGGCCTACAGTTATGTCTATAAAGGCACAAAACGCTTGTGTAGAGGTAGCTTAAGTTAACAATTTGTGCTCTAGATCTAGAACTGGAAGCAGTATGATCAGGCACCCCAGCTAATTAGCTCTCCTTAGAAATAGGGCTTCTTAGCTCTGGAGCAGTATTGTAGTACAGAGCACTAGGCCAGGTGGCTCAGTAAGTTGCAGGTATCTCAGTAAGTACTCTATTATTCCCTTTGCTTCAGTTTCTCTACCTGTGACAATGGGAAAATAATCCTTGTCTGACAGGGTGTCATGAAAATTAATTAATTCAAGTCACTGAAGCACTTTGATGATAAGCACTCTATAACAACAGGCTACGGACTACTTGGGAGATGGCGGTTTTTCCTGGCTATGCTCTCTGCAGGAAGTTGCTACTTCTGATTGTATTCATTCTCTTCACCCCAGGATAACCAGATGGATTCTATGGCAGAGTGAGAGCACACTATGTTACAGTATGGACAGTAGTAACATGACCTACAAATACAGCAAATCCTGATTTTGTCGGTTTGTTTCAATCACCCTGGGTTTTACCAATCATTTTAGACTGGAAACAAAAGGGAACATGGTAACACAGGAATCCCAAGGTCCAGTTGCACCTCTGACTCTTAGCATTATTTCTGTGCAACCGATCCCATTACATGCTGGACATTTTCCAGAGATAGAAGAAGGGACAAGGTACCTAGTTTCTTGGCCCCAATTGCTACATCTGCAAAATCTATGAGTAATCTCTTAAAGAGACATTTTGCTAGTTTGTTAATATTTTAAAGCACCTTCATAATAGAAAAACAGTATAAATACGGACTAATTATTAAAGTACTTAGGTCAAATGACTAAGTTACCTTAAGCTACTGCAATAAGTTCCCAGCTTCCAAATGCCTGAATTATATATTTGAAGGTGTCTTTACTGTAGGCCTAATTAAAAAAGCATTAGCCTGAATAACTTTCCTTTCATCTATTGTGAATGAGTGGGAGCTTTGGCTCTGTGCTACAGGAGAAACTGGGAATGCTGGCTTGTTTACATGCAGTCAAACTGTAACTTTGGTTGTTATTTAGTATTTTCTGCTTCTAGCAAAGAACTATATAGTGAACAATGATGACTATTAAATATATTCCCCTTGTGAATAAAATGATAACTATGCACGTTCTAGTGAGAGTCTGTTGGCATCCTTACTCATTTAAGTTAACCAATGATTTTTGAAAAGTCTCAAAGATACTGAGTTATCATTAACCCTTTCACAGAATAGCACTTAGGTGAGCAGTCTTTTTCAGTGTTCTGTTCTGTTTACCTACCATCTGAATAACCTGTGTGATGTAGCCCCACAGAGAAGAAAATGGCTGAAATTTGCCTCAGAGAGCATTAGAGTTTGAAAGAAGAACTGCAAATATTATGTTGTCTAAAAATAAAGCTTTAAAAGGAATGATATCTGTGCCAAATGAACATCAGAGAAAGAATTTGCAATAAAAGGTGTAAGATAGACTCATTTTTAAAAAACAAGATTATGTATAAATCTGTCACTGGGTGGGCCTTTACTATTAAAGTAATTTCTTGTTTGACCCAAGTACTTTAGTAAGAAAAAGACAGAATTTTATTTTATTTTAAATTATTTTATTTAAAATGCATTTCTGTTTTAGTTGGTTATGGAACTTAAATTCTACATCTGGAAGGGGGAGGTCTAAGGCAGAACAATAGGAGTTTTTTTGACCTGTCATAGTTAGGGCTGCCTTGCTGAGAGAGAAGAAAAAGGGCTGTCACCACTGCTCCTCAATTCCCTCCTTTCTTCCTTCTTTGCAGTACACACACTTATTTTTTATTCTGTGGGCACACAGCCCCAGTACTAAGCTTTGTACCAAGCAGGTGCCAGATTACAGCCATTGTGGTAGCTGACAGGGAACACAGTAGGATCAGGTTGATTATAGTCATAGGAATTTACAAGATGTGAAAAACATCACTATCACATAAGAAACTGATTGATTCGCTTTAATTACTTTCCTGGTTAGAAAAAACAATGGCAAATGAACGTTATTATTTGTTACCTTATACCATTCCAGGAGTTTGTTCATTTCTTTTTTTTCCATTCTGCCCTTCTACACACTTGCTGGAAACTCCCAAGTCACAGTGGTACCTGAACTTGGTTGATTTTTGTATCTAGTTTAGACATTACCCTTTATTGTTTATTCTAATTTCCTGAAATTCCTAGAACTTGCCAATTGTCACACAAATGCCCATTCTTACATAATGTTAGAAATGAAGCCTCAGTGAACAGAATGGTGCTGGGTGGCACCGTGGCAGGAAAAGGAGGTAAAGCTGTTCACCTGAAGTTTGTGAGGGCATGGTCTATATGACAAATGATTGCTTTTCAATGGCTTAGTGGTGGCTTATGTGAAAGGAGTTGCTTTTCCCATTTGGCTTCCCAGCAGAGATACATGTATATTACAAAAGTCTCTATCACAAACAACAGCCTAACTAGAATATCTATAGTTTCGAGTCATGAAGGCTAGATTATGCTTTTTTTCCCTAGGATGTAAGCACTTGCACACTAGGGGCAGATATCACAATATGTGACTTACAATGGACAAGAATCAGAGGAAAACAATCTTCAGTCATCATTCTTATAAAAATTGCATATTAAGCGCTGCATTTGGATCATTACCCATTTGCAATGGATAACAGCAGCATGTAGGAAATGCATGTTCTTGTGGGATGGTAGGTGGCAATCGTTTCATTATCTACATTAATACAGACATGTCTTTTATAGGGCACTTTTGTAAAATTTATGAACTCAGACCCTTGATTTTGTAATGTCTCTGTGTTGGTGTACACTTCTATCTGTGTGGGCTCCTTTGACTCATCCACATGATGTAGGTCAGGGAACAGGGAGTCTTTGAGGACAGTCTGTCTAGCTGCATTCAGGACTGCATTTTTCTCTGAAGTTTTTTGTTGTTTTTTTTTAATGATTCATATTTGATCAGCATTTAGGTCTGATGGTGATGAACCTGAAAATGAACCCAGGTCAGCTTGTCACTACCTACTGGGGCCATTACTGATAATGCTGCTTGTCTAGTGCCTATTGTGACACCGTACTGTGATCAGAAGGAAGAGACTACAAAGCAGCAACTCCAGATACTTGGGGAAATGGTAGCCTAAAACCTTGGTAAATTCTTGCTAATTCTCTTGACTATCTAACCATCACTAAAGTCTTTTCTAACCACATATAAAGTCTTTTCTTAAAAACCTTTGAAGTTCATGCTTAGCACAGAATATTCTTTTGATATTGGCACCTACTCAAACACTGTGAAAGCACTGGGTTTAAGATATCAAACATAAGGAGCCAATTTTGGAGCCGATTCACATTGTATAAAACAGCATTGAGGTCATTGTGGTGGGAGGGTCAGAGAACAATGAATGTACCACAAGTGAATAAATATACTGCATTATTTCAGAACTCATATTTTATTAAGATAAGTGGTTGCCTACCGCTGCTATTGTTTCTACTGCTGTTCCAGAAGGGACTACCAATGCACAGCAAATTACATGAAGAAAAGACAGTGTCTATGTCACCAATTTATCATTCAAACAGAAACTGGACTACAAATCTGACCACTGCTTGACCAGAGATATATAGTGAACATACTCTATTAAGAGTATGGTGGAAGATAAAGGAGTGAGTAGGGATGTTTAAAGTGCATCTGGTTAGATATAGATCATGATTTTTCTGTCACCAACTATTTTGTAAGTGCTCATTTCAGGAGAAATCAAGGGCTGGATTTTATTCCATCTGTTATGCACTGAAGCTATGGTCAGGCATTGCATTTATAACACTCCTACAAAAAGTGAATTGGCATCCATTCAAGCTGTTTGTAACACTACAAAGATGCTCAAAGTGCCACAGAATATTGTCACTTTTAATGAAAAACGTCTTCGTAGGGCTATGTTTTGCAGGACTACATGCTATATGTAATACTACAGGGGTCTCTAGAACATCCAGTATCCCACAGTCCTTTGCTCCCCCCACCCCCCACAAGGGATGGGAAGGGAGGGAGAGCAGCTGGCTTCCTGATAACCCATCTAGTGGCCCTGCTGGGACCTTAATGCCACTGCTGCTTAAATAATCCTGGGCAGAACTGGAACTCTTCAAGTGGTTGTACCAATTCCCTCACTCTAGATGGTGATGTGGAGTAGGATTTAGTCCCTAGCATTTAAGGAGGAAAGGGTGGATTCATAGGGCACTTGTGTAACAATTATTGACTTATCAGAGCCTTGATTTTCAAATGGCTCTGTGTGGGTGAATACTTCTATCTGCTTGGGCCCCCATTGACTCATCCATACAATATAAGTCAGGGGAGCAGGGAGTCTTTGACATGAAAGTCTGTCTAGGTACATTCAGGAATGCGTTTTTCTCTAGCCTTTTTTTCCATGTCATGTTTTTCTAGTTCAGGATACAGGTCTCAAACCTATGACTGAGCCCAACACCTTTACCACCTATTTAGGATGGACAACCAAATACTTAAGTAGGTATTTCAGTGTGTCTTGGTCTTTAGTATCACTTCTGTAGAGTAGGGGGAAGGGGACATTTCACAGCAGCCTTCAACATTTTGAAATTTGGTTCTTCATTACAATGTAACTGGAACATATTGAATATTTTTGTAGGAACAGAACTGCATTGATTTTAGATTGGGGAAAATGGAGTTTGTTTGTGTGTGTGTGTGTGTGTGTATACCTGTGCACATATGCATGCATGTGCATGTGTAGCTAATGATATGGGAGGTCCACATCTTAGCTCTTGCTCTGAGTCAGAGCAGAATTTTTCAGCTCTGACCACCAAATCTTTTCACTAAATGTTTTGGGTTAAGCAAGTTTTTTTTTTAGTCAGAAATACTTCAACCAACTCTAATAATCAGTTCCCTTACTTTCCCATGCCAGAATTTTATAGCTAGCCACAGAGTTTAACAGAAACTCAACTTAACTTATCTTAGTATGAATTCATGTAGATCTCAGAAGGCAGCAACTTTGAGGCTATCTTGGAGTGGATGTTGGACATACCTAAAATACTACTCATTAAGGACTTCTATTCCTGTTGGAAAATGACAGCCATCTTAGCTTAGTTTCGGGGAAGAAGTCTGTCCTAGCTTACAGGTAGCCTCACAACCTCAAATGATGGTTCACAGGCAATAGAGTACCCCATTCCAATTCTCATTAAGCCACCAGGCTTTGCTACAAACCCAGATGCCATTTGTACGCCTCATCAATGCAGGTGACACCATTACTGGGCAGTGGTTCTTTCACCTGCTTCTCCAGCATCACCTGCTTATAGTACCTCTCTGCTTTCTACATTGGCTAGATGGGACAATCCCTATAGAAACTACAGAATGGAAACTGATTCAACATCAGTACCAGAAATATAAAAGCCCATGACAGAACATGTTAACCTTCTTGGACATTCTTTAAACAAACAAACAAAAAAAACTTTAAAAATACCCCAGGTGGAGCATGAAATTGTGGAACAAGAAATCATCCATAGACTGGATTATATCAACTATGGTCTCAGCAGGGACTATGGATTCTTATCTTATTACCTGAACTAGCTGTTTACTCTGGTATTAACTGCCTTGTTCATCTCAGTTAAGATAAACAACTCAATATTACCTCTCTTGGCAGCCTCCCCTCCCCTTATTCCTTTCCCTTCAGTATAAAGTCTTCTCTTTTTACTGAAGTAGGCTATTGTTAACAAATGTTCAAGCCTCTCTGAATCAGTTTGTTTTTAACAATGGATGAAGTTACACATAACGCTTTGGTGTGGTCTGGGTTCCACAGACCACACCAAATCTGCGGAATGTGAAGTGGTGTTAAAATTAGAACGTGTTGTGAGAAGTCATACATTAAGGGTTAATACTATTTCTTGCTGGCACAGCTCTGACTCACCACTACAGCTCTGGCAAGTAGGGGCATGGCTAGGAGCCATCACTGTTCTGGGTGGTGGTGTAGGTGGGGAGAGTGCATCCTGGGATGCTGGAGGATTACAGATTGCTCATTTTATCTCCATGGAGCAGACTGAAGTTACCCTAACATGAGCTAGGTAGCACCATCCATAGTTAACCCTTGCCTAAAGCTACGTAGCTTTGAGATGCTTGGAGCACAAGTTAATGACATTTCATGTGCGGATACTTGCATTTTAAGCGCCTTTAGTTTGGTCTAAATGTAACGTGTAACCTCAACCTAAAGGTGCCACCCTGCATGCCTTCTACCTAAAATAGTAAGAGATCTTTGGCTCTTGTGTTGGGGAAGACAGGAAAAGCTTCTCTTTCATTATCACAGAGTTCAGCTCATTTATATTTTAGCCACTTTTCCTGCCACTATTATTTCAAATTTAGGTAAGACTTTTGACAAAGTTGGTTTCCTTCTGGAACAAACTTCTGTAAAATGCATACACAACACTTAGCCTTTAAGACTGGAAGAGAGAATGAAATAGTCCAGGGTGTTATATGGTTTATGCTATTAAAATCTGTGGAACGCAGAGAAACCAGACAGACACTAGCTTTTCAGCACATTTACAGAGCTCTTGATGGTACACTGCTGCTTTTCTGAAGTGTTGTGAAGTGCAGACTGGCTGGAAACAGCTATATTTCCATTTACTTTGAGAATATAGAAGTAGAATCCCCTTGGACTCACCACAGTCTGCTCTTCTGTTAAATGACAGAACGGAACATGCTATTAGCAGTGCTGCCAAAGCCTGGCTAGAGTCTGACACTTTAACCTCTCTAAGAATTATATGAAGGCACTGGAAAGATCTACCACAGTCTCTATTTGTAGAGCGGCAGGGACTTCTAGTACAGGCAATGAGTGGGTCATAAAAGATTGCTATATAAAGTAAATGTCACACTCAACTGTCTTGCTGCTCAGAAATGTGTTTGTGACCCCTTTACTAAGTGTAACTCAAGCTTTGTAACATACAAAGAGGAAAGGTGAAGATGTATATTATGTATTCTAACAATGTTTGATTTTATCATAACAGCATATGGCATTTTTGAGTTGCTCTTAATGCTGTGTGGGCACCCTAAGCATTATAGCTGAACTACAATTAAAGATTCTGAAAGAAGATCAGGAGTGTTTTATGGTATTTACATTGCTGATAGACTTATGTGCTGCTATTTAAAGCAAGGACTGACCATGGGGTTGATAGGACCCTTGCTAAGTACTCAAATACTGATGTATTAGAGCCTTGCAACAATGTAATTGATATGGCTTTGTCAATTGCCACTGTGAATAGCTTCACACTTTATACTTTGGAAAAAATGCATTACACATGTGGCTACTTGCCTGAAAATACCATGAAATAAAACTGGGAGGGGAGGTACAGTTATAATTCATTTGAACCTAAACATCTTTAAGCTTTTCTGTACCGGTTCAATCTGACCTTACACAAGAACTAATTGGTGTGAGACAAAGCGGGGAAAAAGCAAAGGTATAAATATTCGATTCTTACAATTTTAGCAGCAACAAACAAAAATATGAATGTGTGGCAACATTCTCAGAAGGATAATAAAGCGGTAGTAATGTTAGCACAACAGCTTTTATCCATGAGTGGTAAAGCATTTGGCAAGCCATGAACATTCAGGTAACGCTATATATATACACATCACTGACATCCAGCCACCACTGGGGTAGAGGGCAGCACCCAGGCAGACAACAGGCACATATCTTGCTGTAGAGCAATGGGGGGGAAGATGAATAATAGGAATACACTAGAAATTTTGACATCCATGCAGAGCACAGCTGACCTTAGCTCCTAAAATTTTCTCTTTAAGACTCAGGCAACTAAACTAAATTTATCTACTAAGCTGAGTCAACCCTGCCATAATTCAAACCCTTTGTTTCTCAGCATTTAAGGACTAAGTTCACCACTGAGGAAAATGTAATCAGTTCTAGTGTTTGACAGAATTGAGCATGCTACTTTTACAGTCTGAGAAGGAAGGACATAATATATTTTACATTTATTTTTGTTTCCTAATACACCAATGGTGGTGAACCAGTAGAGTGTTGAGAGTGCTGTCGACCAGAGACAGATGGATAGAAGTGGAGTACTGTGTATACTAGTACCTCATTCAAGGCTTTTGTAGTGTTAGTGGTCTAGAAATTTCCTTCATTATTTTTCTCTAGATTTGATTAGAAATTCATTTAGGAATTTAATAAATCTATTTTTATTGTTGTCCAATAGGTTATTTAACAGAATAATTTGATTGATTAACATATCCATAATATTACATGTTTTCTGTAAAATACACTGGATTAAGGGTCATATTTTATGCATGAGAACTACAAATCACTGAACTTAATTAATGAGGTTTATTATATCATTACTTTGATGTAAATATGAAATAAAATAATTGATGTGTTTATAGTGTATACAGTGTAAAAATGATTAACTAATGTAACTAAGAACAGCATTTCTCACATTCATATCACTAAGTGTTGCAAATACATCAGAGGACGAATCTAGTTCTAGGTTTGCAAGAAAGATAACTTAGAAAGATAGCCAGTCAGCAAATAATTCTAGTACCTAGAGTATTTACCCACCAAGAAAGCTTATAATACATAGGCATTTTGTACCAAAAACATCACTGGATAAAATGCATGAACAGTTCAGGGAACTAGGATCAGAGCTGAGGACATCCTCTCCCAAGTAAATGCCCTCATTAGTGAAGTGCAGGGGCATACTTCCTCTTGTGCTCTCCTGCCAGCCTCTTGACATTTGCAGTCTTTCATGGAAAAGTGCTGTAACCAATAGGCTATTACATAAAAAAAGAGGCTAGTGATGGTCTTACCACCCACTCTGCTTTTAAAACAAAGTAGCTCCAGTGGCTTCGCTTTGTGTACTCGATGCTGTTCATAGATTCATAGATTGTAAGGCTGGAAGGGACCTTGGAAGATCATTGGGTCCAGCCCCCCGCACCAAGCAGGAAAGATAACTGGGGGTCAGGTGACCTCAGCAACATGACCATCCAGTCTCCTCTTGAAGATTTCCAGGGTAGGCGATTGCACCACCTCTGGAAGGAGCTTATTCCATAGTCTGGACACCCTGGCTGTGAAGAAGTTTTTCTGTTAGTGTGTATTGGGCACATTTTAAGCATGCCCATAGTATTGGGGTTCTCAGCAGACTTAGGGACAAGGAATACTTATTTTGTGAATTCAGAAATGGCTTCAGATATGAGATTGGTGGTGAGAGGAGCAGTTTGGATAAGATGGCAGTGTCTTTGGTTGTCTGCAGTAGCAGAACTTAAGAAGTCTAAACAATTTAATAGTAAAATCTCAGACAGCTACAGACTCTCAGGTACCCCAAATGGTTGGCATTTTTGTGGATCACTCATTCAGACTTCAGGGCATGATTTCTGCCTTACCTACATTTTAGGTGCCCACAGGCTGTTTTAGGATCTGGCCCTATATTACCCTTCACTTTTGGAGTGCAGGCTGTCTCTATTTCCATGCGTTACCTAATAGCCTTTGAGTATTATGAAATCGAAAAAAGGTGATTTGTTTAAAAAAAAGAAACTAATGTGTTTAATCTCCTGTCTGAAACTGCAAGTATGGAAAATTCTGTTATTTTAGACATTTTATTTGTTAGTAGGTGTTTGGACAGAAGGGGGCTGTTTGGACAGAAGGGGGCAGCACATGATCACGTCTACAGGATGCCAGGGCTGTGAGGGTTGGCATTCACACAACAGTAAATTGGTTTTATAATATCCTGTCAGCATACATTTCTTATAATGAAAATTGCATTCTAGTGATTAAAACATTACTTTTACAATTTTCACAAATGTGAATGCTCATTTAATGAATGTGTGTGAAGTACATAGAATTTTTCAAATGCTACATAAGGTCTAAGTATATTAATAACCATTTTTCTAGAAGTGAAAAATGGGAAGACCTGAATTAAGTCTAGCACTGTGCAAACTATAGGCCACATTGGACAATTCACTCTACTTCTGATCTTCCATGTTAGTCCATTCCTGGTCCTCTACTGAGTGATCATAGTCTAAGACAAAGCTGGTCTATCAAGACATTGGCTTGCTATGTGCCCCCTATTAGTCAGTCAAGTTCAGTTCAGGTCTCAATTGGTTTTTACTGCCTCTGGCTTCCTTAGCACTAACCCGTTATTCATTTTACTGATCCTGCTGTCAAACAGTGTCACCTGCAGTTAAGTGTCCTTTCTGTTGTTCCTTCATGATGTTCCACTTATTCATCCTTGATCCTCTTGCCCTCAGCCCAATGGTACAGCTATCTTTGTCCATGTTAATGCACTGGAAGCCAACTCATGTGTTCTACAATGTGCTCTATCATTGCTGTGGTGTTTCTGTGGCACAATGGGCACTTCATTTTACAAAAGCAGGTTTAATTGTTTTAAATCCCTGAGCTGAGAAACGGCTTTCTCAGTTTAAGTGCTGATGCAATTGTGCTGCTTCTCACTTATATGGTTAAACCTTCCAGTTCTTCTTAACAAGTTTCACAAACCTTGGAAACTATTTTCTTTTTTTTCCCCTTTTGAACAGAAGCAGAGGGTAGCTATTGACACTGACAGTCATTGCTCAGCCCAAGCAGGTGAAGACAAATGCTGGAATGGATATTTTTTAGTGGCAGGCTGTAACTTAAAAATTAATACTTGGTTAAAAAATATGCCCTTGTATCTTCCACCACAATGTGATGATGCAAGGCTCCCACCATAAGCTATAACTCCGGGTATACCCTACCTTCAGAATAGAATTGCAACCCCCTTTATCCCTACCCTTGAGTTTCTCCAGTTGCCTGTCCTCGTTATTCTGCTCCCAAACATTGCTGGTTCATCTATACATTTGCTTATCTTATTTCCCTGTTTATCTCCTTGTCTTCTTCAAATCTCCTCTATCCCTCTGACCACTGGAAGACCTGGAACACCTTTTAGAACTAATGGCTGTACCTAGTAGTACTGGTAGAAGTTCATCACCCCAGGAGGGGTCATTATTGAGTGACATTGGGACCATCTACATGATATGTTCACTGTGCAGTAGACTAATTAGCTGCACAGTTAATGCTGTGCATCTAAACATGCTCCCCTATTAGGCTTAAGTAAACAAATTTACTCTGCAGCAGGATAGTGCTTGTACAAGTACTATCCTGCTGTGGAGTTTTTTACTCCACAGCAGTATGCATGTAGGCACTGCCCCACCTGGCTGGGGTTTGAGGGTGCTTCGGTGTGGGGGCTGCTTGCTAGCTAGCCTCATGCTGAAGCACCGTCATACCCCAGCCAGTCCCTCCACAGCAAGTTTAGCTGAGGTGAGCAGCCCCAGGATGGCTGGGGCTGCTCCAGCCCAGCTCAATGTGCTGTAGTCCCAGATGCAGCATGTGGAAGCAATGAACTCCGGGGCAATAAGCCCCAGAATTTATTCATGCACATTAATTGCACATGTAGTCATGCCCATTGAGTGTCACTTATCATCCTGAGTGTATCCCAGAGGGACACTTGATTATGTTTCATCCACCTGCTCCTGCTTGCATAAAGCGCATACTGGTGAAGCTGCCTGAGGGGTGTCTGCCCATGGTTCCCTCAAAACCATGGTCTCTGGTGTGCTGGAGAGTGTCTTCACTTATGCTTTTCCACATTTACCATGTGGGACTGGAAACAAGTGAGTGGAGTAAGAGCACTGAATATGACAAGGATGCAATGCAGACACACCAACTAGATACTTCTCTCATTATAGGCCAAGCCTCCCACATTTGTTGTTCTCCCAGGTCCTACCATGCTGCAGCCAAGAATCATATACACTTCAGTTCTCATTTAAGATCACAAAACCCTGTCTCTAGATCTCTGAAAACTTTCCCAGTTTCCATGATGCATGGAAAAAAAATCCTTTCTATCAGGCAAATGCCCTGGGTACAACAGGTGCATCTTTCTTTAAAGTGCAAAAGTTACAGATATACAGCCTAGGTTTGTAAGCTTATAACACTTACATAATAACCAGTGAATTCCCCGAGTATCAGAATTTATTTTTTTGAAGAAATAACATGAATGGATGCTTTTCATTTTGTGATTATCTATGTATTACAAGAGTTGGGTCCTAAGAAAGACAAATTGGAGACAGTCTGGGTTCACTGTGTTGTGGCTTTAAACTTTGAAGCAGTTCTCCAAGCAGGCTCAGAGGGGAGGGGAATGACGCTGAGTGACTAACCCTCCAAGCCTTCTGCGGGTTTCACATAAACATGTTTTTAAGTTCTGTACTCAAGTCGGCTGGGAACATGCTGTACTCTTTGTTTTATTCCTGATAACTTGGGAGAATGTAAGAACAATGCCAGTGGAGAGACTTCTGCTTTTCAGCTGGGTGTGTAACCACAGTGGGAGGAGAACACACTGTATATTTATCAAGTATTAGTCCTAAGAAAGGATGGAAAGCTGTAAGCAAAACAAAACAGAAAAGGTTCAGTGGCTAGGAACGTAACAACAGCCTGGTGTTTCCTGAAGGTTATTTTATGGTTTATGAACATTTGTCACTTGTTTTCAGCATCACTCTGTGTCCCTTTTTCCAATGCTAACTGCAACTCTGCCCTTTGCTTAAACCAGTCTATTCATTTCAAAGGGTCTGGAGCTAAATTGACTATGGGAGGCTTAGGTTTTTTTAGGCTCACAGACCCAAACAGCTGGAATAATCTTCCAGCTTCTTTGAAATGGACCCTCACATTGTTAGGTTTAAAGAAACACTTAATCCTTTATTTTAAAAAGCCTTGACTGTGTGAAATGAATGGAAGCTGTGATTGATAGCAGTTTTCTGCTGTTACAGAGAGCCCAATCCTTCTGCCTCCATTTGTAAGCAAAACCCCTTTGCATTTGATGGGAACTCTGCCTTTCTATAAGGACAGAAGGGTCACACTGGTGGAAACACTGAACAGAAGATGTGCTAAAGCCACAGAGTTGGCTCTGCATCTTCACTTAAATTTTCCCAGAATTGGGAGTTTAGTACTGGGGCAAGAAAGAAGAGGCTGGGCAAAGTTTGGACCCAGATCTGCCATCCCTCCAGGTCAGGCATAGTTAAAGATTTCTCTGTTAAAATGTTTCTATTGCAGAGAATTTAGGAAACAGTAGAGACTGAGTTCTCCATAAATCCCCTACTTTTTCCTCCTTCAAGTGTCTTCTGAAAACCCACCTCTGTCAGGGGCTTAATCAGAAATAAGCCAGTTAATTTAGTCAGAATGAGGAATATATGAGGACAATGGTCTTACTCAAATATTTTTAAAAAGCATAATCATGTAGGCAAATACATATGTTTTTATAAAACATGTAGAATTTATAAGCTCTAAATATGTGTCTCTGTACCTGTTCCCCTTCCGCAGAAACAGATAGTAAACTCTTCAGAGCAGAGATTGTACCACATTATAAATGAGTACAGATTTAACAAGTGTGGCTAAACTGTGGCTCCCAGGAATCTGTGCGACTCCTGGAGAAAGAAATTGAGGGGTGCTGAGTACAGATCATTGATTCTAGGCCATGCACATCTCAAAGGTTTAATATGGTGACTATGTGGAGATTTTGGTTTGCGGCTAGAAGGATTAGAAAGTTGAGCCATCCCTGCCTTATAGTACCGTTGGCCCCTGTTTTGATAAGCATCTTTAATTACTAGCAAGCTTAATGTTAACAAAAGTTACCCTTTAACCTTAAAACAAAACAATTCCCCCCACCCCCCTTTAAACTCATCACAAAAAAAAAAACCCCCCCCCCCCCCCCCCATTAACCAGCAATCCAAACTGTAAAAGAAGTGTATGATACGACATCTGTTCTGATCTATGGGACTCATGTCATTCATTTCAGTAAGCATTAGGTAAGGGTTTAAATAACTAGGGAAGAATTATAACTCTCTGTTATTTATTTTTCATACATTGTTTCATAACTTTCATATATATAATCCCATGTATTGTTATATTTTAAGATTTC